TATCATAATTTTTCTTTTCTGATTTACTAATGGCAATAACATTAATCCTAAGAACTCGACATAATTTTTGCGAGATTTACTGCAAAATACAGTATCATTTTTAAACAACATTTTTATTTATTTTTTATATAAATAAATCCCAAGCATTGTTTATTTTTACCAAAACTGTTTAATTCTTTATATTCGTAACAAATTGGTAATTGATTATGCTATAATTGCACATTCGAAAATCTTCCAATCAAAGATACTCATAGATCTTTTTATTTACGCCTAGTTACTATCATTTTTTGATAAATATTATTAATAAATATATTTTTGGCTATACCTAAAATCGGATTACCTTGCATTTTTACTATATAGAGGGCATTATATCATCTACCAATTCACATTAGAAACCTTTCGAGCAATAATGAAGGTTTATCAGGAATTCACAGAATTGCATGGAGATTTGTGAGAATCCTTATCTAGAGATGATGTGGTTCAAATTGAGGTTTCATTTATAGCTTTTAACTTATGGTTTAGCTTCAATCGTTTGTGATTTTCATTATATATTGGTTCATTTTTCAGAGAACGTTTTTTGTGAAATTGTTTTTATTTTTAACTTATAATATCATGAATGATCCAATTACTTTTCTATTTCATAATATGATATGTTTTCTATTATTTTATTGTTTTTGATTTATTTTAGACTTTAAGACTAAAATTCGATCAGCATGTTTTGCATTCACTCTATCTTCCAAACGTAAATTTTTTTTTTAAAAACGAGGAAGAAAATGTGAGGAGCTGTAAGAGCAAATACTCATAAACGAAGAGCAAAGGTTTAGTAGCGAAGAACAAAGGCTTATTGTAATTTTAGTTTTTTTATATGAGAGATAGTAAAAAAAATTGTTTTAATCTGGATTTCTCATGATTAAAACTCGGTCCAATATTTAATCTGGTAAGAAACTATTGGACATCCTATTTCTAATTAGAGCTTTAATACAAACTGTGATTTGTTGGATATATATGAAAAACAAAATTACATTGCATGATGTCGCCTTATTCGTTGATCAAGATCATTAAAATCAAGAAACTATAATATTCCAACTAAACTCGTGTAAATTACCGTAAATTTGTGTACAAATTTTTGGAGATATACATAATTTATCATTTTTATATCTTTAAAGATTATGATATCAGTTAAGTCTATTTTATTAATTGAATTAGTCTATAAATCATAAATTATGATTGGTTTTATAATGTATCTAATTGTTTCTATCGACTAAAAAAATGAAAGTTCGTTGTTTTCAATTATTTCACGGGTGTAACATATTTCTATACAAAATAATCGCAAATTCAAATATATAAAACGAGTTTGGATTTTGTATAATAATTTCCGATAACTACAATTCATTTTTTAACTAAAACTATATTGATTTTACAAGATAATCGTTTAAATCCGCATATAACGCGGGTATTTACTAATTATAATTCAAAATCACTAAACAATAACGAAATTAATTAATGTCTCTCATATATTATGCTATTCGTCACTACATTTCTTATGTGATGTATCAGTTATAGTATTTCAGTCGGTTTCATTGATCATTGATCGGCTTCAGTTTGTATCGATTTCGCTTTGGATTGGCTAGTGCATGTTCGAATTTTGATATTATGTTAAATTTTGTGGATTATATGAGTAAATTAGGTTATATTATTATTTAGATTTCATCAGACTTCCCATCTAAGATTCTTAAATCAACTTGTGTAAATTCAAATGTGAACAAATTATAGTTTTCATTTATAATTGTTTCAAATTATTGGTTGTTTTATTTCACGAAAAGTGTTGTTTTAAGACATTTCTCATATTTTATAGGGATCTTTAAAAAAAAAAAAGAATATTGGATGCATTAGGCAAAGTCTTCTTTTTTGTTTTTAATATGACATATTTACACATATATATATACCTGTATGTTTCACCAAACCGACCCGAACTTGTTACCTTACCTAAACAACACCGAACTGTTTTAGAAATAGATTTCATACCAGTGATTTGTTTTTGGAAATTTGGTCAAGATTCTACTTTCTTATTTAGC